TCAAAAAAGGGAAAATGTGTTAGATTTTTAAATCTGTAACTAGATCTTGAAAATCAATTTCATTTTTTTTCCTCCCAACATTTATTTGTTGACCCAAGAACATTTTTGTCAAATGGGTTAAAATCAAACATCAGAACAGGAAATTTTCGGGTTTTGGTTTGAATAACAATTTTGTGCCTATGTTGAGATGGATTGCTTGTCTTCAGATTGCACACGGTTAAAGCTCAGATGAGGCCAGTTACTGACCAGTGACCTCTGGAGTGTCGGAAGTGTGCTACAGTGAAGTGCATGGCAGGATATTCGCTAACACCAGCAGAGGTGCTCCCTCTATGACTGGGGTTTGATAGTAATCACTGCCACATGCTAGTTAAGTTATTAAAGTGCAGTGCCAATGAGATCTATAGTTGATGGCTATTGTGGATGCTGATAATGCTAGGTATCTACATCATCAATCTGAAGAGGACTTGGGAGAAGCTACTTCTGGCAGCCCGTGCCATTGTTGCCATTGAAAACCCAGCTGATGTGAGCGTCATCTCTTCCAGGAATACTGGACAGGTATGAACCTGACTCTCAGGACACCCAGGACTGCATTTTTTAGAATAGTGCTTACTGCCATGTTTCATGACATAGCTGTCAGTCTGGCTTAATAAATGGAAGTAGATGCTCTGATATCTGAGCCTTATTTGGATAGACTTCTTCAGTCTGGGGCGTGCAAAGCATGAGTGCCCATTTCCAGCAGACTTCACAAAGGTCAAATGTTTACTTTCTGCAGATAAGTTGAGTAGCTTAGTGTGCCTTTCTATTTTTTTTTTTTTAGAGTGGGGGGAGGCAAAATGCAACATGTGGACCAAATACTCCCCATGGGATCCTCACCAGGCTCCCTGAGTGCCCTGTCCCCATATGCTGCTGAAAGCAGCTCTCTGAATTCTGTAAGCTTGGAGAGGAGGGAGAGACTCGTGCTCTGCTCCATCACAACTGTCTTCGCTCCCATTATCTGTTCCTGGCCAATGGGAGATGCCTGTTAGGACAGACATTGCACTAAGTCCCCCTCCCCTCTGGGTTTACAACATTTGGAGCTGCATATGATCCCCAGAGCCAATTCAGGGGCATGGAAGGTAAGGATCCTGGCTGAGCCTATCTCTTCACCCCCAGTTCTTCCCTTTTGACTCCTGCCTACACCCTACCCTCTCCCAGAATCTGCAACCCCCTCCTACACCATTCTTCTAGATCACAGCACCCCCCAGTGCTGCACTCACAATTAAGATGAGCGATGTGAATGGCGAACCTGTAAGCCTCCGCCATACCAATTAACAATTGAGGGCTTGAGCAGATCTGTCTGTGGCAGTCTTAAGTGGTTAAACATAATATTTAATTGGCTAACTGAGATTTTACATTCAAGTTCCTTGTGTCTACTCCTGCCCCAGGTCACAACACCTTACAGTCCCTCCTACACTCCTGGATCCTGCATCCCAGTCTCCTGTCCCAGGTTACAACCCCCTCCTGAACACATACTCCCCAGATTGCACACCCCTTCCTGCATGCCGATACTGTCCTCTAAGCTCCCTTCTGTACCACCCTCCATCCCAGACCCCATACCTCCGTTCAGATTATGGGAGAGTGCAGCCCTTAACTACTTGACAAATTGTTGGAGTGGCCCCCCCATCAAACTATTGCCCACCCCTGCTTTAGAACAACGATGATGAATGTGATAGGGCTAGGGGACTGGTTAAACTTGGGAGATCAGTCATTGATTTGCTTGTTTTAGTGAGTCGCATTTGATTTTTTTATTTCTTGATCTTGGGTAAAACCTGCTGTTTCAGACACTCCTGATAGAGGCCTGGTGTGTTCTTTTTTTCCAAGTCCCTGGGGAATCTGTCACAATGCACCTCGGCATGGGTTGTTGCTGAATGAGATGGCGTCTCTGGTTTTCCGGCACTGCAGTGTTTTCACATTTCATTTTAATAAATGTTATAGTACCTCCTCTCACCCGTTAAAACTTGATGCTGCCATGAAGGTAGTTAGGATAATTTGAAGGGTAAATTACTTGCTAGTTTGGACTTACAGCTACTGTTAAATTCTCTGAGCTGGTAGAGGGGCCAAGAATTGTTCAGACTCAGTGCCATTCTTGCATATGTCTAATAGGTAAGCAGAAGAACTTAGTTATGTATGGATTTAGTTGCATACTTAAACTGCATCCTGTTAAAGCTTGGATCTGCCATTAGTTTCTTGCCAATGACCTGGGGTGGCAAGTGTGCTACTGGAAAACAGCATTCCAGGATTTTTGCTAACACCAAAAGAGGGTCTGTGTGACTGGAGTTTGATGGCAGTCACTTCCATATAGCAGTGTAGATGAGATCTTATAGGCTTAAAGAATTGTTTCAATAAAATAGATTCTGAGTTTGGAACACTCAGATTTCCTTTGTTTCCAGAGTTCTGGACTGTCTGCTTGCTTACGTGGCATAAGGTTTTACTCCTTTGCTTCAATCATGCAGAGCTGTGATGATTGACTGCTGCTCCAGTTTGTTTCATGGCATGGGAGTTCAGCTGCAGACAGTGGAATTAAGATAGAAAGAGAAATTTTAAACAATGAGTAGTCTAGCAGTACCTTAAAGACAGACAAAACATGTAGATGGCGGTTTGAACTTTTGTGGGTGCAACCCACTTCACCTGAATGGAGTTATTAAAGAGCCAGTTCCAAAATAAATAGTGGATGGAGGGGGGAGAGGAGTCAGTTAGTGTTCATGCTACATATGGAGCTGTTAGAGAAGGTGCAAATTCTTAAGTACCCATTGTTTGGTTTTTAAGTAATGAGGATGTGGAAGGTAGTGTACTAGCCAGGTAATGTCTTTATTCATGCTTTTTTGATGGGTCCCAAACTTGTAAATGAACCTAAGTTCCAAGGCTTCCCTGTGTATTTGGCTTGTGGCACTGGCCTGAAACAACACTGACTTAGAGATCCATTAATGGGTGCCCAGGCAGGTTAAAACGTTCTCCCAACAGGTTTGTGTTGCCTTTTTGGATATCTGATTTGTCCATTAATTCTTTCCCATAGAGACTGTCCAGTTTGGCCAACATACATGGTATGGATCACAGTGGATGTGTAGTTAAATGAGCCTCTAGAAAGAGGGTCATTCAGAAATACGTAATCTGCTTTGGTTTTCACAGGATGGGGACAGATTCTCAATCCAGCTGTTGAATTCTGGTTTTGTTTTTATTCCTTTGGGTAGCGCGCTGTTCTGAAGTTTGCTGCGGCCACTGGCTCTACACCAATTGCTGGGCGTTTTACCCCTGGTACCTTCACAAATCAAATCCAGGCTGCCTTCCGTGAGCCACGCCTTTTGGTAGTTACAGATCCCAGGGCAGATCATCAGCCATTGACTGAGGCATCTTATGTTAACATCCCAACCATTGCGCTGTGCAACACAGACTCCCCACTGCGCTATGTGGATATTGCTATCCCATGCAATAATAAGGTAATTACCCTGCTCTGGTATTCAGTGCTTTTCCCTTCATAGCTCACTCTAGAACAGCGATTCCCAAACTTTTCAGCATCACGCCCCCTCCCAAAAAGAAGCAGCAAAACTTAGGGTGGGATTGATGGGAGTGTGGCTGGGTTGCCTTGTTCCCCCCCTGGAGTTTCTTCATGCCCCCAGTTTGGGAACCCATGTTCTAGATCCATGAGGACTAGAAGGTTACAGGCATTTGGTAAGAAGCCGTTAAAGCCTTTTGGCACGGGGTGGGAGGAGTGGGTGTGGAGGAGGGGACTGAACTCTGCACACAGTTAGAGCTTGGAGCTGAGGTCAGTTTCTGGCCAATGAACTCGCAAGTGTAGGACGTGTGCTACAGTAACCATGGCAGGATTTTTCGCTAACGCCACAAGGGCCTTTGTGGTCCAATGAGTGGAGTTTGATAGTGATTCTTGCAACATCTCTTAAATGTGAGAAGTGAAGCATTAAGACATGTCTTCCATCTGATGGAGTTGCTCTGGAAGATCTCTGTACTTCTCTAGAATTGCCCCAGTGATGAGGCCTTAAGGGAACGGGCACACAGGATGTTGGTTAGATCTTTAACTCTGCTATGTTCATACTACAAACCTAAATCACCCTGTATACAAGTGTGTGCTCTAAATTATATCTGAGGTTAGTCTTTCCTACTTATGTCTTTTTAATTACCCCATAAGCATACCAATCATTTCTATTAATCTTTGAATATTTTGGGGTGTTTGTATGACATCTAACCAGAGGACGCTTGTCTCACTGATCTATGTACAGTCCGCCTGGGGAGTTAGCAATTGATCTCATTCTAACATCTTCCAAAAATAGTATAAGTGCTTCTACAATCATGGACTTTCTACTGTTGATTTGCATTATCTTTACCTTGCATGTGATGGACTTTAGAATTGTTTAGCGGTAGGGAAAATAAGCATGACCTCCTTTAAGAGGTTTGGATTTAGTGTGCTTTCAAGATTTCAGCTATGTACCCTTTCTAAAAGACTAGTTTTGAGCCATGAACTAGACACCAGTTTGTGTTTCAGGGAGCCCATTCAGTGGGTCTGATGTGGTGGATGCTTGCTCGTGAGGTCCTGCGCATGCGTGGTACCATCTCCCGTGAACACCCGTGGGAGGTCATGCCTGATCTTTACTTCTACAGAGATCCTGAGGAGGTAAAAATGTGTGGATTGGTTGGGAGTGCACATTATAGGGGAGGGGTATGGAGACAGCCTTACGGATTACATGAGCACAGTTTCTTTGGAATAGAATCTGTAAAATAGTTATAACCTCACTTTTACCTTCAGTTAGTGCAAGTTAGTTAATGTAGGAA